AAAATGGAGTAGGATATCTCTCTTTAGCTGTAGGAGACAGGACTAGAAGCAATGACCTCAAGCTACAGCAAAGGAAATTTAGGTTGGAAAATAGGAAAAACTTTCTATGAGGGTTGTCAAGCATTGGAAGAGGTTACCTAGAGAAGTTGTATAATCTCTATCCTTGGAAATTTTCAAAAGAAGTTTGGAGAGACACTTTTTTGGGATGGTGTAGTCAGTAATGATCCTACCCTGAGCAGGGGGCTGGACTAGATGATCTTGTGGTTTTCTGCCAACCCTACTTTCTTATGATCCTACATGCCTTTTTCCATACCCATGAACATCTGCCTATATTTGCACATGATCAGAAACTGTCTTTGATTTTAGTAGTTCAAATCTCAAAAAATCTATCCATACAATAATTCCCAGATTTTTCATAGCACCCAATGCTGACTAGACTGGACATGCTAACAGGGTGATTAAGCATGCTATAGCTAGACTTTTCCCCTATGAGCAGCTTTTAGCTATTACAGCCCAGGATGAAAGGCAAGCATTAGAATGGACTGCTGGCATTCAGGCATAGCACAATAGTGAGTTTTTTCCTGTTAAACCTGACACTAACATAAAATATGGCCCCTACCCAGGGCAAAGTATTTAGGCTCCTTTTATACATTGATCAAAATAACTTTATATTTACAACATGCACATTCTGGTTATCACCAATCACTAAACATATTTATGGGACATCATTCTCATCCAGTTTTCACCAGACATTTTAACCTTTCCATCAGATAGGGGGGACATATTTATCAGGACACTCTAAACTCTGTTTTGGTGTCTTGTACCCATTGGTGCCCTATTGCTTTCCATGTTAGCCTTCTGAGAGGTCTAGAAATTAATAGTCCTTATTTTCTGGGTCTATTGCTCAAGATGTTATTGAAGCCTACTTTGGTTCATGCTGTGAACAGACCTCTGGATGATTGCTAAAGGCACTGATCAATGGCTGCACCAATCCATGCTCTGGCAAGGCCTACATTGCCCTCTTTTTATCATTGCTTAGGAGGGGATTTGTACCCATTACTCTGGAAAGATGTAATTTATGGACAGCAGATGACCAGGAATCCTGGTTTTCTCTGATAATCTCCAATTTTCAGATAAAAAGGTGACCCAAAATCCACATTTTTCTGTGATTACAATGAAACACCACTATAAATGCATAGTGGTGGTGCTTCATTGTAATTATGGAAAAATAAAGATTTTGGGTTACCTTTTTTAATCTGAAAATTGGGGATTTTTTTTTATCAGAGAAAACAGGATCCCTGCAGATAACCCAGTGGGCTATACACTGTTGTGTGGCCATCCTGGGGTTAAGATCCCTAAGAGGTAAAGGCTTGTTACCTACTGAAATCAACAGTCAGGATCACAAGTGCAGGCTTGGTCAAGAGTGGTCAGGGGTGGAGTAGTACTAGTTGTGTTGGGTTCCCTTGGTTTGGATGGCCCATGTGCATCCTGTTGTGATCTTTCTATTGTGATCTTTCTGAGTTCTTTTCAGCAGAAAAAAATTGCTTTATTATCCTTATGTGGTCAAAACATAAGTGAAAACTAGGAGCTGACATATTCCAAGGGGTGCTTTGAGTCTAAACAGGTTGAGAACCAGCATGCTCAACACTGTAAATAGTAACAGACACTCTCTGGCTGAAGGGTCTTAAAAGCTAAATAGGCAAAGGAAGAAAGCAGAGGCATAATGAGCAGTGTTTGCACCCTGGTCAAACCCAGAAGACCAGGTAGGAGGAGGTAACACTGAGCACTGGAGAGGCTGGGGTTCTTGAATGGGGGAGATGTGGGGAACAGGAATCTTACCTATGCCAGGGACTCAAAAACAGACCCTAGCTGCTTATGTTGCCATAGACGCAGTATGGTCTTGCCCAGTGGTGATGCATAAGGGGTGCATGGGGGTGCACGTGCACCCCCTGAGAGTGCTAGTGCACCCCCTAATGGCCAGCATTCCCCACTTAGGCGACAGGCAGGGGGGGCAGGCAAGAGCACTGGTGCCCCCCCTAGGAGGGGGGAGTGACAGGGTGGTGCCAGGAGAAGAGATCCCTGCTGTTCTCCCATGGCCAATCATGCCAACTGAGGGGTGGGATTCACCTGTGGTCAATCATGCTGACCCAGAAGTGCCAGCAGCATGCTTTGAAGTGATCAGCCACAGGTGACCCCCCCCCCACTGTTCGTGTGATTGGCCATGGGGGGGACTCCCCCCGGTTGCTGACTGGCCACTGGGGGGGGGCAAGTGGCCCCCCTGACTCAGGAGCTACCAGTCACTCATGGTCTTGCCTGCCCCAGTGTTGGTGCTACACCAGCAACACAGTGGGTGTGTCTATATGTGCATCTACATGTGCATTACTGTGCAGTAAGTGGGAATAGGTTGGTGTCTACATGTACAGGCATTAAAGCGCATTAATGCTGTGTGTGGACTGATGTGGGACCAAAGTTAGTCCCTAGTCAGTCCATACACACAGTGTTACCGCGCAGTATGGTGTCTACTATGCAGTAACTAATCGAGCATAAATCACCATATTTACTTCACAGTACAGGTGGAGCAGGGTGCAGTGTCCTGGTCCCAACCAGGAGACAGCTGCCTCCTGGCCTGGTACTCCCTGCCAGCCCCTGGGCTAACACCCAGGGGGAGCCTAGAGCTCTCCCTGTTGGTGGCAGGCACCCATTGCAGGGTCTCAGGAAGCAGGAGCAGTTTGCTACCATTAGCAGCAAATCTGCTCCCACTTCCCTGTATGTGTTTACTCGCCTGCCTGGGAGCATTTACTCATGAGTAGTTTACTTACAAGTAAACTGATCCCAGATCAAATGCATGTGTAGATGCACCCAGTGCCTATGTGCCCAGCTGCTGCTGCTGCAAGTGTAATGCTGTGGGGCTGCTTTTGCTGCCAGGGTGCAGACTCAGTGGGGTTGGGGGCGATTCTGGTCCCACTTCTAAGTTGGTGCCCCCATTAATGCTGCACAAAGAAATTAAGCAACTTGTTCAAGGTCATGCAGCATGACCATAACAGATCTGGGACTAGCCAGTACCTCATCTGCCCTGCTTCTCTGATAGGCTTGTGCTGATTAATTAAGACTCACTAAAAAAGTTAAGTATATTTCTATGAAATGGCTTCTCTTATCTTGAAATGGGTAAATTATGCTAGAACTGATAAATTCTAATTCTTATACTGGTTCTTTCAAGACTGGCCATTTTGTGTTATACTTACCAGTGGGTTTCCATTTGTGCAAAAGCTGCCTCCTTGCCATAATAAAATAAAATAAAATGCAACTTTGTTCTTTGTCTTCTCAAACCCATTTCCTGGATTAAGATTTAGGACCAGATTGTGTGATATTAAAACACAGCCCTGAGCACGGGGCAGTAAGGAGTAGTAAATCCCTGGTTGAAGCACTCAGAGACATTTTGCCAACTGACTTAAGAGAGATGTTAGGGTTCCCAAGGAAAACTGGACCAGTCCCCTGGTCAAGGCCAACTCTTTACATTTATAAGGAATGTGAAAACAAGGGAACATGACTGAGAGTTTAATTTAAGAGCAAATGAAACGTTTAGTTAAGTCTTTCAAGGAAAATCAAGAAATAGGATTACAGTCGAAACATTTGCTAAATGGATGAGAAAAAATGATTTGACAAAGAGAAAACAGCCCTGCAAAGAAAGCACAAGGGAAGTGCTATGATAGCCTTAGAGGCCCTTTCCCTCAAACTTCTTATTTTATAACATATTTCTAAAACGCAGCACCCACAACTGTTTTTCCTCATCTATCAAAGCATAAAATTGCCAGTCCTTTGACCTAACTTAAATCAAGGAAGTAGCAATGTTAGGTTTAATTAAAAACAGCAAATATTTGTACAGCTGTCCCTGGTTTCACAGACCAGAAATAGGTTTAGCATCAAATCTTACAGTTTTAAATCTCTTGGGAACCATATACAAAAACATATAGGATCTTTCTGGCTCAGTTGCCAAAGCCAGAAATGCCTTTTTTGGAGTTATTTCAGGTGGAGCTCATTCACCCTTCCTATTTCCAGCCAACTATTTTCCTACTTGAGGAGGAGTTTTTTCCATCCTCCTAATGCAGCGCTGCCAAGTTGACAGGTTTGGATGCATTTGATGCATCTTGGAGTTAATAATAAGTTGAGGATAGACTCTGTAACTTTAACAGCTATTATTTCAGCTTTTAGGTACAAAACAAGTCTGCCTCTTCGTAAGTGCAGCTTTTCATTGAATCAGGCATTTAACATCTCCCTGGACTGACACTGCTTTTCCAAAAGTCTCTCCCTTGTTCACCTTGTGTGCCTCAGGTTGTCAGGCCAGGGCAACATGAATGAAAGTGATTTTATATGGCTCTGAGTTGAGCCTGATCAGCGATGTTCAGGCCCAATTCTGTGCATCCCCAAAGCTGGAATGTGTTTGGATCTAAGCTTTTGCTTCTGGCTCTGCTCTCATTTTAAATTACTCATTGAACACATTGTAAAATCCTTCATCGCTCAACTTTAAAAACTGCTTTCAGATGACTCCAAACAGAGTCTCATTTCCCACCCCCATGGCACACATGGGAGAGACTTGGCAGATCTTGTCCCAGCAGAGATCACAGAAGGATTTACACCACCTAGTGAGAAATACACTAAAAGAAACAAGTTAACACAACTTGAAGCACCCACACAAAGTACAAGTGCCTATATTCGCTGCTAGTTCTTGAGAAAGGAAAGGAAACCAGCTGCAGGAGCTGCCTGCCTGAAATGTGCACATGAAAAACCTCTGCAGAGCTTGAGTCCAAGAAACACAATGAATGGGAGATCTTTTAACAAGTGCTGAAATATTCAAGGACAATTGACTCTGGAATGAAGGGGCGAGGCAGGCGGCCACACACATGGGCCAAGAGATAAGAGCAAAGAAGGGAAGGGAAAAGGGGGAGGGGGGGAAGAAGCCAGACAACATTTAAAACATCCCACCCTGGCCAGTGGAGGGGAACAGAAACTGGAGAGCTGATGGCCAAACCAACCCCTTTACTTGTCTCCATCAATCACCAGCTAGTGGCTCTCCAAACCTTGCAGCTGTTGCAGCAGGAGCGGGGAGGCAAGGATGATACCAGTGCCCACTTGGACCAGGCCTCTCGAGCTCCACTATTCAGCATAGACAGGCCCAGTCCAATTCAGCATGGCATGGGACAAGACCAGGAAGCAGCCTTCGCAAACACATCTTGCCAGGTTTGGAAGCAGGCAGGAAGCAGAAAAGGCACAAACCAAAGCCCTGAGGAGGAAGAAGAAAATGGATTTGAGCCTCTTGAGCCCCAGCCAAAAGATTCATCCCTGTTGCGCCCATCCAGGCCCCGAACTCTAACAGAGATTGCTCTGCACAGCATGTTATCCCGAGTAGTAGATTTAACATCCCAGCTTGTAAATGTGGAACAGACTCTCCTGTTCCCTCTGTTACAGGAGCATCATTCTTCTGACCTTTTAAAAGTAAGTAAACGAGACCAGGGTTGTTGGTTGTAGCTGCGTTGGTCAAAGGACATACGCAGATAAGGTTCTTTGGGTAGATGAGATAGCTTTTATTAAGCCAACTAAATAGATGGAAACAAGTTCTTTGCAAGCTTTCAGGCACAAACACCCTTCCTCAGGCATAGGGAGACTCTGCTACCTTAGAGAACACATACTACCACAAGAGTCACCCTATGCCTGAGGAAGGGTGTTTGTGTCCAAAAGCTTGCAAAGAACTTTTTTCCATCTATTCAGTTGGTCTAATAAAAGATATCACATCTACCCAAAGAAATGTGACTATAAGTGAAACCACAGGTTTATTGTCTGGGGCCTTCTTCTGCAAATGGGTACTGATTAGACCATCATGGAATAAACTGGGACCTGTTGTACTGATTGCAGCTTTTTATTTACATTGACTTGGTAGTAAGCAGTCACCCAAATTGTTTTAGGGTTAAACATCATTAAAAAAATAAAGATGGTGAAAAGATATCACAGAAACACTTTGGGTTTTGTTGAATAATGATATTCTTTTGGTGTTATAGGGTGTAATTGGACTTTAAATGAGGCATTAGGCATTATTTGGAGCTTTTCCAAAAGCTACTTTCATATTTTCAGTATAAAACCTTAAATTGCTAAGTACCATAATGATATCCAAAGAGCCCAGGACAACAAAAATGAAGGGAGGAACAATATCTTATAAGTGAAATATTCATTTTCATTGGATGAGAGACTGTCTGGCTATTATTCCAGAATGACAATTTATATATAACCATGTGGGACCCCAGTGAATATATGTATGAAGCAGTCCTAATTTTTTCTGATAAATGAAGGAATTGCTTATATTATCACATTTCTGTGGCTTTTTTTCCAATCAGGGAAAAAAAGCCACAGAAATGTGATAATATAAGCAATTCCTTCATTTATCAGAAAAAATTAGGACTGCTTCATACATATATTCACTGGGGTCCCACATGGTTATATATAAATTGTCATTCTGGAATAATAGCCAGACAGTCTCTCATCCAATGAAAATGAATATTTC